TATGTTATAAAAGAAGTGAAACTATGGTGTGTGCTACTTATATTGACATAAGTAGTATATAAGGCGAGTCAGGAATTTAATGTCTGGCTGCAGTACATTGGGAAGATCAAGAAAGGAAGAGCGGGAATAGAAAGTAATTAGTATAGAAATTCAAGAACAATAAATTCCAAGACAATTATTGAACATTTTGCAAATAAAGTATTATACTATGGTTGTTCTATTTTAGCAAGTAATTCTGTACAGTTGTGCTAAATACAATTTGGTTGTCCTCATCTATGTTCTCCATGACTACAAAACTATCCATTTTATGTCAATGATAATAAGTGTTACTGAGAGATAATTAGAAAGGACATGAATGAGATAGTGGATTATGAAACGATTGTTACATATGTTGGTATATACATTATCCAAAACTATATATATATATATATATATATGCACATAAAGAAGTATTTGATAAACATCATGTTTAAAAAGTGTTTGTCGGTGTAGATAACTTTCTTGTTGTGTTTTTATCTCCCGATACATATAGATTGAAACAGGTAGGTGATCAATCGTTTTATGTATAGTTACTAGGGTATTCTACATAATGCAAATACTTGTTAGAATGTTACTGTATACCAATCATTATGAATATATATATATATATATATATATATATATATATATATATATATATATATATATATATATATATATTGTCTTATACATAATTAAGCATTTATAATGCTGGTATCAGCTGTTAATAATATTTAATAAAGAATAACAAAGTAAAGAAGTACTGTAGATTAAAAGAGAATTAATAAATGATCTACTATGTATAAATGTCATATAGTTATGGGTTCATTTGGAATAATGAAATTGATTTTTTAACTGTAATGATTGAAGTTATATAGAAGACTATCATGAAATGGTGATACTGATCAGTAATTCAGTTATAACTTTTTAGCCAGTCGGTTAAAACGTAAGACCAGGCACATATATGCATCCGTTTACATTTCTATACCTCATTAACACAACAAGATGGACACCGGACTCATAAAAGTAGTTAATTCAGAGGTGGTGATATATAAAAGAAAGATTGCAATAAGGATATAGTACAGGAAGAAAGAATTGGTTCATAGAAAGAAAGATATGAAGTGATTTTAATCTCACGGTTTAAGAGAAGATACAGAGTGTTTACACGTACTCTAATGTGATCGAATTTGAGCCATATCACACAGAGTCACCAACCATTGGTTACGATAGTCACGCGGACCCCAACCAAGTAGTCTGCATCTACCAACATGGCTCAGACTATAAGTTTGTGATTTCATGGACTGATGCCACGTTTTGCTTTGGCCGCCCCCTAACTTTCTTCCAACCATCTCCAACACTAGTCAGCATTGTGTGTCGTGGTAATCGGTGTTCAGGTATACGTGACACCTGAATATCTGAATATTCGCAACCTCATCAAATGATTTACCGTCACTTCCTAGTACCGTGTGTCTAACCTCATTACTACTTATCCGATGGTCCCAGCAGATGCGAGCAAAATTTATCAGATATATGTGATCAAATACTAATAACCTACTTCTACTTTTAATGACCACGTTTTGCAGCCGTAAGGTAGAACAGAACGAACTACTGCGCTGTATTGACACCGGTCATTCCTGAAGCAACGATTTGCATTTACAGGGGGATAAACATATTTTAAACAGGCTGGCATTGTTGTGATATTGTGACACCGTATTTAGAATACAGAGGATGTTGTTGATTTTTCTGCCAACATACTATGTTAAATTGATGTTATTTTGGGGTCCTGAAGTTGATATGATTTCGGATTTACCCGTTCACATACATGGCTTCCTAGTGGTCAAGATATATTCATTATTACGGTGGAGAAGAATTGTAACACAAATGGAAGTTTTCAATGTTTTCTGTTCCCCCAATCACTCAGTCAACCAACTATAGAAAACTATTAGGTACGCAGTGTGGTTAAATATGATGTTAACTAAACAAATATACAATCAAGATCAAGGTCAACAGAAGAGATTGTCATTCATAAGTGAAACGACAATCCAGATAGCTTACTTCTATTTAAAGTTTTGTGTTGATGATTTTGTCTAAAGAGATGTTGTAAACTTCCCGAGAAAATCTCACTACTCAGAAAATGATACTCTACCAAAATGTCACATTCTCAGAACATTCTTGCCCATAAAAAAAGAATAGTTACTTTCAATCAATTTATATGTAGCTATTTTATTTATTGTAGAGGTAAATTAAAAAGGAAACTGGTTTATAAATCAAACCCAATCACACTCGATTAGAAAAGTGAATGGATGTTAGTAAAACCCATTGAAGTAGTTCGACATGATGCAAGTGCTTATCATCATTGACATATTTCATTCATGAGTTTATACTATTATTATTATCATCAGTGTAGGGGTTGCGGAGATTATTAAGTTTTTGATTCAGATCACGAATCCATTGTTGTTAGACTCACACAATATGACGAAGCGGCCGTCCAATGCTTATATGTTTTCAATGATGGTTTAAGATCAATCGATTCATGATCTCAATCAAAAATTTAATCTCTGTTGTCAATCTACTGTTGATCAACTTTGTTCATTGTCTTAATCAAAATCAATCAGTTAATTATTATTATTATTCATTCGATCATAAGAACTATTATCGATCAATTAGTGATTTAAGGAAATGATGATAGAGCTTAACATTTAAAAAAATACAACATTCCCAAAGTTGTATACTTTTACACAATTCTAAATCTCAGCATATGCTCATTAATGTGGTGTAATAAACTAATGAAAAAATAAATTCACTTGGTATTATTGTTCACTTAAATCTTCCTATTAATGTTTAGGATTGAAATTGATCAGTCTCTTATTGACATATGTGCATCCTGTGTATATCGCCTCGATATTGTCATCTTTGTTGATATGGGAAAAAAATGGTTGCAAAACTCATGTTTCCAAGTTGTTGTTTTTTTTTTAAAAAAAAAGTAATTTAAACATGTACAGATGTATTTTAGCCCGGATAAATTGTAACTATCCGTATATTTTAAAGAGAGCAAGAATAAAGATTGATGCACAGTGGTAGGAATTCATTTGATTTCGTTCGGTTCTCATCAGCTGCTTTATCATTGACATACTTATACATCAGAGAGTGATCAAAGATGTATCATGATGTAGTGAAGATTTCAATAGAGTTCAATAAGGCCATAAGAAATTGTTTATTTCGGATAAATAAAGTTTGAGAAGGAAAGTTCTAAAACATTGAACTAGTGATTAGAACTCATGGAGTTAACAAACATTAGATGATTATGTAATCAAGTAACTGAAAATAAAATCATGATAATAAAGGAAGATCAATTAGGACATTAATGAAAAATGTCAATGATGTAATTTAAACTTCAGAAAGAGTTGAAATAATGCATGACGTAATAGATTAAAAGGGGTGGGGGGGGTAATGTTACCACTATTTCAATGTTTTGAAAATTTCGCTCTCAAACATTGTTTATTCCAAACAAAATTTCTATAACCTTATTGAACTCTAGGGGAATCTTCGCTACATCGTGATACACTCATATTCATCTTTAATCACCCTCTTATGTATAAGTATGTCACTAAGTGTAATAACTTTGATTTTCAAATATTTCAGATTGTGGGCAGTTGATGAGAACAGAACGAAATCAAATGAATTCAGTTATTATTCTGTATCAATCTTTGTTCTTGCTCACTTTAAGATAATAAAGGGAACTATATATGTATGAAATCAACATATTTCCTAGATAAATAATATATATATATATATCATTTATTTTGTATATTTAAAGGGATATAACATTAATATAGTAACACGCAGTGACGAGTCACCTAGACTGGTGGTCACATTGCAACATGGTCGATAGCATTTCAATCTGCACTAAATAAGGATTTGACACACATTGAACACTAGAATGTATTCAATATTTCAATGCAACTAGTAACTAAGTACTTTTAAGCATATAGTAATAGTGAAAATAATTATGACCTGTTAGCTAAAGTATTAAAGTGTAAAACAAATTTGAAACGATTCAGTACTTGTTTCCATAAATGTATACTCACAAAAAGGTCAAATATAAGTGTTACATCATTAAATGAATCAAATATCAATTTGAAGTGAATATTCTCATTATGACATTTGGTAAATAAAGATGGAATAAATTTTTTTTGTGTGTTTTACTTATTCCTTAACATTTGTCTCTTGATTCTTACATAACTACTATGGCAACATAGCAACTATTTGATTTTCGAATAATTACTTTGATCATTATGAATCCACTTTCTTCCAATTACTCAATGTTAATTTATAATCGATATGTCATTATATAATTATTACGTAATGTATCTAGTCGATGAGTATTATTTCATTATTGTAAATCATATTGATGTAGAACAATGATGAAAAACTAATTGAAAAGAAATTTCTTCACTCGATTCATTCCTCCTTTATATATAACAGAAAGGGTTTCGAGGATATTATAGTAATCTTAAGAGTTGAAGGCATAAGTTAATTGAAGCTAGACTAGTATGGAAAACCTAAAAACACTGGACGACCGATTTGTCCTATTGTGGGATTCCTCAACAGTGCGCATCCTCAATTTCGCATTGCAAAATTCGAACCCAGGACATATCAATCTCGCCTACTCATGTTTAACCACTAAACCACTGAGCAGTCATCCAACGGTGTTAATGTTTAATTTCAACTAATCCACAAAATTGAGTGACATATCCATCATTATCATCAGTGAGTTACTATCTCACAACTGAACAGATTGAACTTTACTGGTCACTTCTTCTTGCTAGAACTCTAGGAGTTCCATGCTACGACTAAACGGCCGTCCAGTGGCTTCCAGGTTTTCCATGGTGGTTTAGCTTCCATTGAATCATGATCTAAACTATTGAAATATATATATATATATATATGCTTATCAAAACAAAATGAAACATATTACTTACATAGTTACTATTGTTATTATTAGATAATAAGATAATTGATATTAATTGGTGTTAATATTAATGAATAATAATAATAATAATGAGTATTTGTATGCAGACGTTTTGTCGTATAATATTACACTGTGGTGTATATATAAGATATGTATTTCTCTGTTTTAACTTTTGCGAATGATTTAAGTGTTCCGATTTATGATCTACACCAATCTATGTCAATCAATTTTTAATTTATTTAGGATAAAAAAACCCATTTATATATATATATATACACATGTGTGTGGGTGTGTGTAAGTTATTTCCATGACCTTCAACATCTTGAGCCAATCAAATTAAAGCTTAATCTCTTGGCTACAATATACACCTACGCGCATAGGAGATAACAAAAAAATTTTTTTGTTTTGTTTTTACAGTGAATACAAAAACACAGGAGTATTTATTATAGAGAAAAAAACCCATATGGATACACTCATCTAACTATTTATCTATCTATCCATCCATCTATATTCATGATTAAAGAAAAAGAAAATATCAAGCAAACACATAGGGCACTTATTCACACAAATTAGTACAATATTCAAATCAGATAAATGATATTGTAGAAAGTTTTCTTCATAAGTCTTCATGTTATTATTACATTTAACCTTAAGTGAATGAATATTTTGCAATAAAATGTTTCTTATAATTATTATAAATAACAGAATAATAGTAATAATAATAATAATTATTATTATTATTATTACTATAATAAGAGAGGAATGCAGACAGAACATACATTGTTGCCATGAAAAGTACATTCATGCTAAAAATAAACAATTGATGGAAATATATCACATACACGTACACAATATATATATAGATGTATCGCCTAATAATGTGAATCAACTAAAGTGAAACAATGGAGGTTCTTCTGGAGGTACTTGAAAAAGAAATTGGATTAGAGGTGGTCTCAGTGACCTGAGAGCGTGACCGCAGTGCCCAAGGGACAACTGCTTGAGGTCGGTCACACAAGATCTTTTCGTGGTACGTTTTTGACGTGTTAGCTCCGTTCTTCAAAGGGTCTTACCGCCGGAGACGGAAATCCGTGAGGTAAGGTGAGGTGTGCATTTTTAGGGTCGACCTTTTCTAACCCCATCCCTCCTTGTGGGAAGGCAGCATCGCTGTCATGCTGGTTGTCTGAAGGAAACACCTTACTGCTGTCACACCTCTGTATAGTCAGCAGTACGACTTCGCCTTCGGACTTTGGGTTTGTTGCTTTTAGTCTTACCGCTCTTCAACCGACCTGTCTGACATGGTAGGACCTTGAGGAACGGTTGTTCCAGCCAGTATAGCTCGGTTGCTTCATCACGATAGGCAAGCCCGACTACCACGTCAAGGTAGCAACAACGGTCGGGAAAGCGAAACAATATAAACCAGTAAATCTAAACTGAGTGGTTTAAAAGCTTGAAGCTTTTTAAAGAGATTTTAAAAAGCTTAAGTTCGACTGCCCTCCAAGTTGTGGATTTCAATGTCTCGACTAACTATTATTTTTCGATTGTGCAAATATTATAACAAACTTTCTTGATTTAGATTTGTTTGAACTAAATAATTATGAATTGTAGTGATTATACTAATTCAGTATTATGAAATGATTAAAACATATGTTAATTATGAATATTACACATCTAAAGTCAAAATACGCAGATGACCTAGTCCTCCTATCAAATATACAAGAAAAAATGCAGATAAAGACAGCTAGTGTAGCAGTAGTCTCTGCATCCGTAGGCCTCAACATACACAAGGGGAAAACCAAGATCCTCAAATACAACACAGAGAACAGCGATCCAATCACTCTTGATGGCAAAACTCTGGAAGATGTAGAATCTTTCACATACCTGGGAAGCATCATCGATGAACAAGGAAGATATGGATGCAGACATAAAGGCGAGTATCGGCAAAGCAAGGGCAGTATTCCTACAGTTAAAGAACATATGGAACTCAAAATAACTGTCTGTCAATCAATATCAAAGTCAAAATCTTCAATATGAACGTCAAGGCAGTTCTACTGTACGAAGTTGAAACATGGGGAACTACTACAACCATCATCAAGAACGTACAAGTATTTATAAATAGTTGTCCATGCAAGATACTCAACATCCATTGGCCGGATACCATCAGTGATAGCCTACTGTGGTAAAGAACAAATCAGCTTTCAACTGAAGAGGAAATCAAGAAGAGACGTTAGAAGTGGATAGGACATACACTACGGAAATCACCAAACTGCATTACGAGGCAAGCGCCAACTTAGAATCCAGAAGGGAAGCGGAAAATAGGAAGGCCAAAGAACATATTACGTCAGGACATAGAAGCAGATATGAAAAGGATGAAAGAGGTGGAAAGGATTGCCCAGAACAGGGTCAGATGGTGAGTGCTAGTGGGTGGCCTATGCTCCTTCACGAGGAGTAACAGGCGATGTATGGTTGTGTGTGTGTGTGTGTGAATATAAAAATACGTTATTTGTTCGAATAATTTCCTTCTTCTTAACTCTTTAAATATAACAACTGACAAATATGTTGCAATTCATACACCGTTTAAAATAAGTGAAAAATATTGAACTATTGAACAAAATATTTATTAACTGTTGAATTTGTGAATAATTACAATTTGAATGTATGTTGAAGAGAAATATCCTGCTATATTGTACAAATGATGCAGAGAATTTCTAACTGTAACGAAATTTATAGTGATGACTTTTAAATATTACAAGTTGTAAACAACTGACGAGGACTGACAAAATAAGATGAATTTATGCTATTCTGCTAGAACCTTTGTTCTTGCTGTTTTCAAAATGAAAACATTGTTAGTGATTATTGAAGTATGTGATTGATCTCAAATGGAACAAGACTTATCTCCTAGATTTTGATACTAGTCAGAATCTAAAAAGATTCATCATAAGTTTCCGTCTTATTAAATTTATATATATCCATACGGAATTCGGTCTGTTGACCTCGATGTTTTCCGTTCACTGCGCCTTTTATCCCGTTCAGCAACACTCTGTTGAAAACTTTTCCTGGTACCGATAGTAGTGTGAATTTTCTGTACTTTACACATTTGCTGAGATCTCCTTTCTTTGGTATCTTAATGAGCTGACCTTCCTTCCAGTCTGTCGGTGGCATTTGTTCTTCCTCCAAAATCTTCTTAAACAGGACATGGAGCATCTTTGCAGTTACTTCTATGTCTGACTTCAGTGCTTCAGCTGGTATGTTGTCAGGCCTCGCTGTTTTCCCGCTCTTGATTTGTCTGATGACCATTCTGATTTCGTCCGTCGTTGGTGGAGTGACAGCTATAAGAAAGTCTGTGTGTGTTGCTTCGGTACCCGATAGATTCAATGGGGCTGGTATATTCAGTAGTTCCTCAGAGTGTTCTACACATCTGTTCTGCTGATCTTGAAATTCAGTGAATGTCTTGCATTGTTTTTCGTTGACTAGCCTCTTTGGTTTACTATATTTCTCTACGAGTTTCTTCATTATATCATATGGATATCTCATATTTCCTTTTCTTGCAGCTTTTTTCGCTGCCGTTGCTAGATCTTCCATGTGTTTCTGCTTTTCGTCTCTAATGCTCTTCTTCATTTGCCTGTTTGCTTCTGAGTACGCAGATTTTACCTTAACTTTCTCTGCTTTTATTCGACTATTTTTAATTGCTGTCTTTTTGTTCTACTTTTCTTTGATCTTGTTCAGTGTTTCTCTAGAGATCCATTCCTTATGATGATGCTTCTTGAGGCCCAGAACCTCTTGATACTTTGAAGTTAATGCTTCTTTGATACCTTTCCAGTTGTCCTCCATAGTTGTTTCTTCTTCCTTCAGTAGATCCTGTAAGGCTTGGAACCTGTCGTTGAGAATTATCGTGAATTCGTTGAATTTGTCAGTATGTTGAAGAAAGGCTGTATTGAACCTTTGTACTCCTATTTTCCCAGCAGTCCAATGTTTCTTCAGCTTCAGTTTCGTTTTGGCAACCATCAGGTAGATGATGATCTGAAGCTATTTCAGCTCCTCTCCTTGTTATTATATCTTCCGTTGATCTTCTAAATTTTTTAATGTTACAAATATGATTGTTTCTGTGCAATGTAATGTGATGAGAACTATGTAGTTTTGTGAATGCATTTGTGTAGGAATGTTATAATTTTTTCTACTTTATGTTTATTTGAATAGTAAATGGTTAGTTAATTTACTTTCATTGATTGATTCCTGTCATTATTTTGTCATAAAAATGCTTCTTATGAAGTTCACTTAATATCTATTTAGATCAAATTGACTTATATAAGTTGATGGACAATATAAATTAGTAACTTATTTGTTAAGGTCAATGTTTTCCATTTATTGATATTAAGGATTGACACGTGTCAATAGGTTTCATAAGTGACTTAATGACAAAATTTAAACAATCTACTCAATATACAGATATACCAATCGAGATCATTTATTTGAACTCTTGAATGTCAACAATAGGGAAGAACAAATCTTTGCAAATAAGATCATACATGTTGAACATGTTACGATAAATGTTAAATCAGAATGAGTTTTGTGGAGATTTTAGTAAATTTCACAGATTGAAATCATGAGTCAGTTGAAGCTAGACCACCATTGAAAACCTGAAAGCACTGGACGGCCATTTCGTCCTAGTATGGGACTCCTCATACTAAGACAAAACAGCCGTCCAGTGCTTTCAGGTTTTGCATGATGGTCTAGCTTCAACTGACTCATGATTTCAACCTATGAAATGTTAAATCGTTAATTTATCGTAATGAGTTTGTCTGGAACGAATGATTCTGTTTTCTTTAATAAATATACTTTGCAGAATCAGTCTTAATTATCTATTTGTAATGAACAAATATTGAGCTGACCTAAAGATTGGATTCATGAGTAGTAAATGTTTCATTTAAGATGGGAATGATCATAATAATCGTTAACTCTCATAGCAACTGACAAAAGTTGTAAATAAGCAAAAACATTTTAATCATCTAATTACATTCACTAAATCTATTGTTATTATTCATATTACGTAACCTAGTATTATAACCTTTTTTATTACGTCATTTTGGTTATACTTTATTCACATTTCCTCATAGAATTAGTACTTTAACAAAAGAATTTTTTCATATCTGTATACGATTGTACAGCTTGATAATAAATTCGTTGAAAACAGATCCCTTCGCTGAACTTCGTGTTTTTAATTTTTAATGTTTAATAGTTGA